CATTTCTTAGTGCTGCGTAGTACTCCATTGTGTATAAATGCCACATTTTTTTTATCCATTCATCTATTGAGGGGCATCTGGGTTGGTTCCACAGTCTAGCTATTGCTTCACCTGCTCTTCTAACTAGTGCCACCAGGAGGGGCATAGTGAGGAAGAGTGGCACAGTGCACAGTTGGCAAGAGAGGAAGCAGGGAGGTGGCTACTGCAAAAGTCTAGACAAGTGATTGTGGTGGCATAAACTAGGTTGATTGCCGCATTGATGGACAGAAGTAACCAGATTTTAGATACAATAATTGTTGTTTGCAGTACTGGAGGTCCAACCCAGGGCCTTTGCTTTGTAAGTAGTAACAATGTTTCTATATTGCCATCTAGTTCAGAATGGATATGACCTTAGGTTGTTTTTGTTTTGTTTGCACTGCCAGAGATCAAATCCAGGGAGTCCCACATGCTAGGCAAAAGCTCTACCGCTAAACCACACACGAGCCTGAGTGCATTTTAAGTGCAGAGCCAGCTGGACATCAAATATGGATACTGAAGTTGAAAGCGAACAAAAAAATTAAGTATGATGTCTAATTTTTGGCTTGCACTTGAGAGGATGATGTAACATTTACTAAGAGACAATGTGGAAGGAATAGTCTTCAGAAACAAGATGAAGAGACTCTTAGCTGTGTTGGGTTTGAGGCTAAGTACACCCAATAGGAGGCATCTAACAGGAAGAAGGATATGGGTGTGGAGGATCAAACAGAGCAGTACTAGATTTAAATGTGCAACTGTCAGGTGTTTTCATAACCACAGTACTAGGTGAGACCATCAGAGAGAGTGTGGCTTGAGAGAAGGAGCTCAGTAGAAACCTTAGCATTCTAGTATTTAAAGATCTATAGAAAGAAGATCAGTGAAAGAGAAACTAAGCAGGGTGGGTCCAACCAGGGATGGCCAAGGAGGAACGTGAGAAATGTATTTTTTTCATTAATAAAATAAAATTTAAAAAATAATATGTGTTCTTAGTTTTAAAAGTAACATTGCTCTACAGGGTTCACAGTAAAAGTTAACAGTAGCCTTCTCCACCCTTCTCCCTTACTGATTCCTGATTCCCAGAGGGAACCACTTGCACTTGGTCAGCTTTCTCTTCTAGCATTGCCTCCTTAATCTCTAAACAGCTGTTGTATCTGTAATTTCTTGCCCTTTCTCTTGGCACCAATACCCTTTCTTTCACTAAAGGTGGTTTCTCTTTATCTTGTACATACTCACTCCCACATGTGCTCACATGTGCACACTCATAGACACTTCTTCACTATCCTCCAATTCTGGTTAAAGATGGCCCCTGGTTTACCTTCACAGACTTTAACAATGGTGTGAAAGCCATATGCATTCAGCAAAAACCCTACTTTGCATTGTAATCTTTTCCTGGGCTGGCAATATGGAGCATCACATTCTCTTGTGGTGTAGGCAATGGAGATGAACCATAGCTCCCCTCAGCCATGTAATCGGCAGGGGACACAACACTAATCTACAGTGTACTGTGTTGCCAGCCTTTTTTTTTTTTTTCAGATACAGTTATTCAATAGATTACATAAGATATTCAAGCTTTTATCATGAAATAGGCTTTGTGTTAGATGATTTTGCCCAATATAGATGCTCTGAGCAGGTTTAAGGTAGGCTAGGTTAGGCTAAGCTATGCTGTTTGGTAGGTTAGATTCATTAAGCACATTTTTTGTGGTAAATATTTATTTTAATTTGTTATATATGACGGAAGAATGCATTACAATTCATATTACACATATAGAGCACAATTTTTCATGTCTCTGGTTGTACACAAAGTAGAGTCACACCATTTGTGTCTTCATACATATACTTAGGGTAATGATGTCCATCTCATTCCACCATCTTTCCTACCCTCATGCCTCTTCCCTTTGCCTCCCTCCCCTTTGCCCTATCTAAAGTTCGTCCATTCCTCCCATGCTCCTCTCCCCATCCCCATTATGAATCAACATCCTTAAATCAGAGAAAACATTCGGCATTTGTTTTTTGGGGATTGGCTTGCTTCACTTAGCATTATATTCTCCAACTCCAACCATTTACCTGCAAATACCATGATCTTATTCTCTTTTCATGCTAAATAATATTCCATTGTGTATACATACCACATTTTTCTTTATCCATTCATCTACTGAAGGGCATCTGGGTTGGTTCCACAGTTTAGCTATTGTGAATTGCATTAAGCACATTTTTGATGTGTGATATATTCAGCTTATAATGGGTTTACTGGCATGTAACCTCATTGTAAATCGAAGAGCATCTGCACCTCACAATTTTTGGTTAAATCAATAGTATAGTCTTTTTATTACTCTGACTTTATAAATGGTATTCATAGCTGAGCCATGTAGTATACCATGATTATACCTCCTTTTTTATATAACCTCTAGTTTTTCCTGGAATTAATAATTGCCTTCATTATAAAATAAAATTGGAGGCTTAATTTCCCAGGTATCTATTTCTAATTCATCTTTGAGCTCTCCTATCAATATTTTTACAGACATCAGGTAATGAAGATGTTGCATGGTTTTTCTTGGCAATGAATTTCCAGGATCTCATCTACCCCTGCTCCAGTCGGGACTATTTGCTGTTGTCCTCTGAGATTTCTTTGCACTGCCATCTTGGGGATTCCTCGCCTCCCTGCCTGTGCTAATCTCCTATTTCCTGAGCTCCATATCTTCCTTTTGTGTTTATTCTCTAGTCTTGTGAAAGCATAGACTCCTTAGCTTCCCTGATGATAAATGCATGAAAAAATCAGTTCTTTAACTATAAATTTTAAAAAATTTCCCCATTGCTACTTTGGGTAGACAAGTATTACAATTTGACAATAATTTCCCCTCAAGTTGAGGCATAGCTCCCTTGTTCTCTAGTTTCCAGTATTACTATTGAGAAGTTTGAAGTTATTCTTATTTTTTAATCCTTTAAATGTGATATATCTATCTCTCTCTCTCTCTCTCTCTCTCTCTCTCTCTCTCTCTCTCTCTCCACCTAAATCATTCTGCAAAGGTCAAAGCAGGACACAGACAAATTGGGTAAGTGTATAACTGAGGGTACCCAGAGGTGAAGGGAGAGAAAATACTCCAGTGGAAAAGCTCAGACCTGAGATCCCTGCTTATGTTTCAGACACTCTGTAGGAAAGGCCATACGACAGTGTTGCTCCCACATCCTGGGCTCCATTCTCACATTTCTTCAAAATAAATAATTATCATCTATATCCTGATTTTTTCCCCATCATTCATTTATTCAGATGATCTGACCTGGTAAATCTATTGTTAGTTATATGATTATGTAACTCCAGAAAGGTTTAGGATTAAATATAGAAACGATGATCTAAATTAAACTCACAGTACTAATATTTTTAGTACTGGCTATAAAGTGTAAGACAATCTGCATGAGTTTATTATTTATGTGAAATATAATAGCAAAGGTGGAAGTTATTCTCCTTAAACAATCTAACAATTTATCCTATTATTTTAATTTGAAATGTGCAATTGATTTTTATACTTGTGGTTTTAAATAGAAACTGCAAGAGAATTTGGCTAAGTATATAAACTGCCTCGATCATATTCAGAGTTTGTATTGACAGCTGGTTTGTCCTATCAGGCTGCCAGGATGAGGAGAGATTTGCTGGAGGAGATGGTGTCCCAACAGGCCTGAAGGATGAGAGGGGATTAGCAAGAGAAAGAACTCAGTAAGTGCAAGGTAGCATATGCCAAGTTCCACAGCTGAAAGTGACTATTGGCCTGTTTGGGAAGCTGTAGGTGTTTTACAAACACTCTCTACACACACAAAATAGGCATTCCTGCTTACAGATTTTAAAAAACAAAATGAGGATGCTGCCTCACTTTGTTGTTCAGGTTTGTCTTGAACTTCTGGGTTCAAGGGATCCTCCTGCCTCAGCCACCTGAATGCTGGGACACAGGTGCATCTATAGCATCCTGATAAATATATGTTTTGTTTTGTTTTGTTTTTAGTACCATAAATACGAGTTTATAACAAAGAACCTGAAACCAAGAAAACTTACCAAAAGCAACATTCTTATAAAACAGTATTTCTCATACTTCGGTATATTTCCATTTGGATAATTCATTGTTGTGGAACTGTCCTAGGCATTGTAGGATATTTGGCAGCATCTCTGGTCCCTACCCACTAGATGCCAGGTTATAAAAACCAAAAAGCTCCAGACATTGCCAGAAGTCTCCTGGGGAGCAAAATCTTCTGATTGGGAACCTCTTCTATATGATATGACAAAGAATTTTACTGGCTCAATCCCAGTACACCAGCTGGGAACTCTTGTCAGTATAGGTGTTCTTGTTAGGAGCAGCAATCTCTAATTACTCAAAGGGAGAAAGTGACCAGATGTCTCAGTCAGATACAACTTCCTCCCTCCACCAACCACTGAAGACTCCTCCTAAAAGGAGTCTGATTAAGGCCTTTCAATGTGCATTACACCAAGCATCCAGGAACACCCAAGAGACTCTTTCCTGACAAGATGGGGGCCATATTACAATGCATCAGCTTCGTTTCTGTAGCCCAATGTAGTTGGACACACATCTATTAAATTTCAGCTAATTCCAAGGCATTTGTTATTCAGTGTGCAAATGCAGCTGCAGAGATGATGAGAGTCACCATGTGGGTGAGGACTGCCTAGCTCTTCACAGGGATGGCCGCTGTCCACCTCAGGGAATGCAGTGCTGGCTTACAGTTGTGCCACCTTGCTGTACCAATAATGGCATGCACAGTGTGTTAATACAAGGCCTAAATGAAAAGAAGCCTGAAGGTCCAGCTTCCCCACTAAATGGTCAGACTTCAGAATACAGGGTTAAAAGGCAAGTGAAAGGGAAAGGAGGATGGGAAACAGGATCCCTATATACCTAGAAAGCTGAGGCTTGTAAGGCAGCCTCGGGGCTTATCATAATCCTGAGCACACTGGAGAGCCATTGAAGACTTTTAAATTGGCAAGTGACACAACAAGATGAATTTCGAAGATATTTCTACAGGACTTAACATTTCACAAAACATGCACACTCCTATAGTTTAGATCTGAAATATCTCCCAAAGGTAGATATGTATTAAAGGCTTGGTCCCCAGCTTGGCACTTGGGATGTGGTGGAAACTTTTAGAAGTGGAGCCTAGTGGGAGGTCTTTAGGTGATTGAGGGTTTGTCTTCAAAGGGATTGTGGGACCTCGGTCTCTTCCTCTTTTTCTCTTTTTCTTCCCGGCCACAAGGGCAGTGGTTCTGCTCTACCACGTACTCATGTGGTACCACATGCTCCTTCTCAGATTGCTCTCTCTTGCTTTCTTTCTTGCCGCCCACACCACTAGAATCCTGAAAGCATTGTGAACTGGGACCTCCAAAACTGTGGGTCAAAATCATCTTTTTCTCTTTGTAAATTGATTGTCTCAGGTATTTGTTAGGATGACAGAATGCTAACAAACATACATTATCTCATTTAACATTCTCTAATGTAAACATTGTTTCCATTTTGCAACTAAGAATTTTAATTAACTGAGACATTAATTAACCAAGGTCAGAGAGCTAATGGGGTTGTAGCCAGAACTGAATAGAAACAAAGTCTTCATTTAATATTGCCATCTGGATGTGTTTACTGTAGTTAGATAAAAAAAAAAAATACAGAGTTGGAGATGTAATTCAGTGTGGAGTGCTTGCTTTGCATGTGCAAGGTCTTGGATTTGACCCCCCCAGCACCATACACACACACACACACACACACACACACATACACACACACACACACACACACACACACATACACACATAGCTGGTATAGGGGTAACATTGAAGGCAAAGAATAGCTACAAAATAAGTTGTGTCCAGCAGGAACTAGCATTAAATATTTACTAGGAATATTTCTAGATTATACTGCTTTTTGTATTCTGGATATTTCTAAATTGGTTATGCTACCAAAACCAAGTTACAAGTCTTTGGAGAAGTGGTTTCCAACCCATGCACTAAGACCATCATGGGAACCCAAGTTTACTTCAGGAGATCTTCAGATTCAATATGCATTTTCATAACAGATGCTGAAAATACTACCATCTATTTTACGGAAACTTCGAGATTTTTAGAAATTCAGTTTACTCTCAAAGGGATTTTTATACTATGTCACAAAGTACTGTGCTATGTGTGTATGGGCACAGGCTATTGGGGCTGAGCGCGCCCGTGGTGGTGCAGTTTGGGTGACCAAAGGCTCTAGAGGAAAGGGAGGAATCTAGCATCTTTGTATGCATGTGCCGCAGAGTCAGGACTTGGTGAGGGGAATGTAGGGGTAGACAGAGGCATGTACTTGTTTCCCTGCTCTGAAAAAGAAAGCATTCCCATGACTTTCCCCACAGACTGGGAATTGTGTTTGTTTTTATGGTGATACCTTAAACAGACCTAAGTTGTATTGATCAAAACTCGGTGTGGACAAAAACACAGGAATTCACCTAGAGTTCAAGTTGGAGAGCAGGAAAGGGGCTCTTAGCCCAACCTAAAATCTAAGCTAGAGAAACAGTAGAAAGGAACAAGGGAGAGAGATGGCTCCAGGCCCTGGCCATGGCATAGGCCAGTTACCACCTTAAATCTTCTCTTCCCTCATCTGAAAAATGGAGCTAAAACTTCTTTGGCTTAAATGAACCAATGAATGTATTCCTGGAGAGTAGCACTATGCATCCATAGTTAAAAGTTTTTGCTTATGTGTTTATTCTGACCTAGCAATCCCACTCCCAGCAATTTATCCTGAGACTGTGCCTCCTCCAATACAAACAATATGTGTGTATATTTATACATATATGTATGTGTGTGTGGGTGTATATATATATATATATATATATACACCCACACACACATACATGCATTGTTTTTATTCAAGGAGGTATAGCTTTATTGTGTGTATATGTGTGTATATGTACGTGTATACATATATACACACACTTACATATATGCTTGTTTATTATGCCATTATATTGCAAACAACCTATAGGCCATCTATATTAATTTTTGATTACTGCATAATGAGTTACTAGAAATTTAGCAGTTTAAAACTACATCCATTTGTTAGCTCACAAGTCTGCAGATCAGAAGTCTTACTTGGCATGATTGGATTGTATACTCAGGGTACCACAAAACTGTAATCAAGGTGTTGACTGCACTGAATTCTCATTCTGAGAACTGAGGGGGAGAATCTCCTCCTCCCAATATTCTTTTTTTAAAATTTTTTTAAATATTTAATTTTTAGTTGTAGGTGGACACAATACCTTTATTTTATTTTTATGTGGAGCTGAGGATAGAACTCAGTGCCTCACATGTGCCAGGCGAAATTAATGCTGTCTCCAAGAGTGGTTGGGTCTCAGGAGACTAGATTAATTCCTGGGAGAATGGATTGCTGGAAAGTGAGTTTGGCCTTCTCAGCTTGCTCTCTCTTGCTTTCTTTCTTGCCATCGAGCTCTCTTTCCTGAGCTTCCACCAGATGTCCTAACCATGTGATGCCACCATCATGTTGTGATACAGCCAGGGAGCCCTCTCCAGGTGACATGTATTGTGTCATATGGCCACTAACATGGCATCCAAAGGTTCCTATCTCCTGTACTTCATGCTTGAATATAATTCCTTCCCACTTGAATGTGAGGTGAACTTATTGACTTGCTCCTAGTAAACGCAACAGAAATAATAAGATGTCACTACAGCATTCTCACTAAATGACTGTGATTTCTGTCTTGAAGGCTCTCTTTGTGTGTGCATGTGTGTGGTGGGGTCACTGAGGATGGAACCCAGGGGTGCTCTACAGCTGCAGTATGTCTCCAGACCTTTTTTCAATTTGAGACAGCACATCTCTAAGTTGCCCAGGATTGCACTTGCAATCCTCCTGTCTCAGTCTCCCGAGTTCCTGGGATTACATGCCACCATGCCTGTCTTGAAGCCTTTCTTTCTAGGGTGAGACAAGTTGCTGTGTTGTAATTTTATGGAAAGTTTCATGATGCAAGAAAATGAAGTGCCAGGAGATTGACAAAGAGGAGTTTTTCCCTTGAGTCTTCAGAGAGAATGTGGTCATTCCTGAAATATTGATTTCTGGCCTTGAGCCTTTGAAACTGTGAGAGAATAAGTTCTGATCTTTTCAAGTTTATAGTTAATTTGTGATAGTAGCCACAGGAAACTATTACATCAGCCAGTAGCCAGAGAAGACCTGAGTCCTGCCAACAGCCACTAATAAGCTTGAAAGAGGATCTTCTGAGGCCTGCCAGCAGCCAGGTTGAGTGAACTTGGCAATGGATCCTCCCTAGGTTAAGCCTTGTGATGACTGCGCCCCCAAGGGACACCTTGACTGTAGCCTATGAGAAATGTGGAGCCACCCAAGTGGCTCCTGGATCTCTGACCTGCAGAACTGTGAGATAATATAGGTTTACTGTTTTAACCAAGTTTGGAGTGATTTGTTATATAGCAATCGCCCTCCTCCCTCCTACTCGGGTTCTCTCTCTCTCTCTCTCTCTCACACACACACACACACACACACACACACACAACACACACACATTTTTTTTCCTCTCTCCTCTCTCAATTTTTGGGAGACAATCTATAAACTAATGGTGGTTGGTAACTGATAGGAGATGGTGTTTTGGTCAGTTTTACATCACTGTGACCAAAATGCCTGACAAGAACAACTTAGAGGAGGACAAGTTTATTTTGGGCTTG